CTGGTATAATATTAAAGAATATCCACCATTATCTAAAAAGGTTATTGAAATACTCCTTCCTTTTACAACTTTGTATCTGTAAAAGTACAGATTTTCTTCATATACTTCAACCAAAACAATGTAAACTGAAGCAAAGCAGATATGAGAATTCTGCCGTCTTCTACAAAACCAGACATTAAAGACATGTGCTTATCACTATTATTTTTGTTGTAGAAAACAAACTGATTATGTAAAATGAATAGGTTATTATCGTTATTTTACATGAATTAAAGAATATTTTTAAATTCTTAGTTTTAATTTCTAACACAGTACTGATAAATAACTCATACAAATCAAAGTTCTTGTCCTCAGTTTTTTTTTTGTTTTTTTTTTTTTGCGGTATGTGGGCCTCTCACTGCTGTGGTCTCTCCCGCCGCGGAGCACAGACTCCGGACGCGCAGGCCCAGCGGCCATGGCCCACGGGCCCAGCCGCTCCGTGGCATGTGGGATCTTCCCGGACCGGGGCACGAACCCGCGTCCCATGAATCGGCAGGCGAACTCTCAACCACTGCGCCACCAGGGAAGCCCCTCAATTATTTTTATGAGTACATAGTCGTCCCAAGATTCAAAGTTTGAAACCCATTGCTCTCTAGCCCCTAGCCAAAAGAAAGCATACACCAAATCTCCTTAAATCACCTTTCACCATTTAATTCTGCCTAAAAATATCTCTCCCCCTCAGCACCAACATTAATATGTCAAACCAGATTATAAATTCTGAATAATGGGAATAGGAAAGAAATGTTTTATACATACATACATACATACTATGTATGAGTGGTTGTATGCAACAAACAATGTGGAGGGCACATCTGTTAGATCCTCACAAGAAATAGCCTTCTCAAAAATTCCTTTGAGGAGGGTCCAGGGCTCAGTAGCATAAGAAGCCCTCTATTACCTTACACTCAGGTTTATACTAAACAATAACAGTAGCTAACATTTTCTGAGCTTTTATTATGGTCTAAGCGTTCTACCAGTTTAATTGTTACAGATACATTATGAAGCAGGTCGATTATCATCCTCAAAATGCAGAAGAAACTGAGGAAGAGCTGAAATTATAATACATGCAGAACCTGTACCTTTAGCGAGTATAAACATGGTCCCCCACTATATCAATACTTACTGAACTACCTTGAATAAACACTTAATTGAGTATATATCTGTTACCATTCAGGATTCACATAACTATTGCAGTTAAGGTCTGATGTTCATAAAATACGTTCCTTTCTGTCATTATATAACTTAGATCTTTCTCTCACTTTCACTCCAGAAGCCTGGTCATTTTCTTTCACTACTCTGGCTCAATTATTTGATACATATTCAAACAACACAGATGAACTGACAAGTACCTATGAAGTTTCCCTCTCAGTTTACTATTTAAAATAAAAAAGAGTCATAATAACTGCTAAATATTAGAGAAAGCTATATAATAGATGTCCTTAAACATGAAAAGTAACTTTTTTTTTTTTTGCGGTACGCGGGCCTCTCACTGTTGTGGCCTCTCCCGTTGCGGGGCACAGGCTCCGGACGCGCAGGCCCAGCGGCCATGGCTCACGGGCCCAGGCGCTCCGCAGCATGTGGGATCCTCTCGGACCGGGGCACGAACCCGCGCCCCCTGCATCGGCAGGCAGACTCTCAACCACTGCGCCACCAGGGAAGCCCATGAAAAGTAACTTTTGATTTCTCTAAATCTTGAAAATAGTAGGTAGGATTAAGGGAAAAGTTAAAATGGTGTTAGACAAGCACTCAAAGCAAGAAAATGTTTTGATCAATAGTTTGGAAATTGACTAGATGTGAACTCAGGCATAGTCTGATGAACATTCTAAGGATTAAATTCCTTTATGGGGAAATAAACTGTGTCAAAACCTCCAAATTACACAGTGCCAGCATCTATCAAGACCCAAAGGCAACATTCCCACCAGATTGCGTATGTAACATCAATACCTCTATTTGTCTTTGCACAGATGTGGGTAAATTTGGGAAGGGAGAGCCCTGAGGTCAGTGACTATTAGGAAGGTTATGTATGTCCTCATAAATCACTTTGCTATACACGTGAATAGTGGGTAGGCAGATTAAAGGACAATTGTCCCTGTCCTTTTACTACTTTTTCTACTGCATGACAAGTACCCACCTAGACCAGGAACTGAATTCCTCCATTAAACTAGGAAAAGACTGGCAACTAGTTATTTGCACTTACTTAACTTCAGAATGAGTTTCTGCATTTTTAGTCCCCTACTTCTAATTGTGGAATAAAGACAATTTCTATTAAAGCATTTTCATTCTATCTTAAAGATGGAAAATCTCTGAGGTACAGTGTATTTCAGAGAACGAGGTGTAAAAAAAAAAAAACTACATTTCACCTACCAATAACCAAGACTTCAAAGGTAATCATATTCAATCTTGGGGGAAGGTGGAGGGTTTACTAAAAGAAAGAAGAGTTGTAACCTTAATCTCTTTCTGCTTCCTATCTTCACTGATCCTCTATTTTCCCAGAAAGAATAAGCCTTGAAATGGCTACTTACAGCTGCTAGAGGAGCAGTGATCGCTGCCTGAGGGTATAAATCTGTATTCACTCAAAATTAAATCCTAGAAGATTAAACTGGGAATCCCTATCCTCCACCACCACACCACTGCTAAGCCTACTGACATTTACAAACCATTTCTTCTTGCATCCCTATAGTCCAAGATTTCCAGGATCAAGGTTGTTTCTGAAACTGAGATTTTAATTATTTCTAAATATCTTGACATTCTTAACACTGACGTTACTTTACCTGTTAAGAGTTGTTTAAGAACGTATACTACTGGAATGGATACTCTGTTAAAAGATAAATGTGGATAATAAGACTTAAGATGCAAAAAACCTACTTGATAAAATTTACTATCTTTACCTCACTAATCCTAAATCTTAATATAATCCTGTCTCTAGACTCAAATGTAAATAGGTTTCTAAATCCCAATAAATCCTAATCTTGGTTTAGACATTTACCAGAAAAGCTCCAGCTCTGTATCTTCGAATAAAATAAAAATACTCTGGACTACTTCTTCAAACTGTCAAAATTTCCCTCACCTGCTGGAACTGACAAGAAAACCAAGCAAGCAAGCAACCAACCTAATCCCTGAATCTCTGAACAATGTAGCATCTTTATGCCTTCTCTAGCTTCTCATCTAAAAAGAAGCAAGAGAAGAGAGAAAGTATCCCTAAGACCATCTCCCCTATTCCTCAACCTGCTCTTTTTTAACAGACCTGGCCTTAGGTCTACACAACAACACTATCCCTGCAGAAGTTGAGGTTGCCAATATCAACTAGCACTTCCTTCAAACTGCCTAATCTTTAGACTGCTGGGTCATAATTAAACAATTTAATCAGAAAAGAGGCTTTAACCAGTCTGGCAGTTCCTCAAAAAGTTAAACAGAGTTACCATTTGACCTAGCAATTTCACTCCCAGCTATATACCCAAGGGAAATGAAAACATATGCCCACACAAACACTTATACATGAACATTCATAGCAGTATTATGCACAATAGCCACAAAGGGGAAAAACAACTCAAATGCCCATCAAGTGATAAATGGACAAATGAAATGTGGTATATTCATGCAATGAAATATTATTCGGCCATAAAAGGAATGAAATACTGACACATGCTACAACATAGATAAACTTTCAAAACGTTAAAAGAAGCCAATCACAAGAGACCACATAATGTATGATTTCATTCAGATGAAATGTCCAGAACAGGCAAAATCTATAGACAGAAAGTATATCAGGGGTAGCCAAGTACTGGGAGGAGTGGTGAAGGGAAAAGGGATTTGTTGGCTAGTGAAAACAGGGTTGTGTTTGAGGGTGGTGGTGGTGGTGAAAACTTTCTAATGTTGATTGTGGTGACTGATGGTTGCACAACTAAAAACCACTCAATTATACACTTCGAATAGGTGAAACTGTACGGTATGTGAATTGTATCTCAATAAAACTGTTGGGAACAGAGCTGGCACAATCTCAACCATCGGGAAGCAGTTTTCCACACAACCCTCTTCCCAAACAAGCAGGTTCTACTCAAACTTTTTCAAGTCCTCCAAAATAAATTCAACATTTATAGTCTGAATAAAGCTCCCTAGGTGATTTCTCTATACTCCCACTGCCATCCTAACTCCTTTTGGAACTGCTGATCAAAGTAAAAAGCTTTTACTGGATTTTCCAGGATACCCATAGGAACTAGCTTCAATTTCAACAAGAATGTGGTAGCAGGATCACTAAAGTAGGCATCTTTGGCTTTGTGGTTAAGTAAAACTTAACTCAAGAAAATATACTGGGACTTCCCTGATGGCGCAGTGGTTGAGAGTCCGCCTGCCGATGCAGGGGACACGGGTTTGTGCCCCGGTCCGGGAAGATCCCACATGCCGCGGAGCAGCTGGGCCCGTGAGCCATGGCCGCTGAGCCTGCGCGTCCGGAGCCTGTGCTCCGCAACGGGAGAGGCCACAACAGTGAGAGGCCCGCGTACCAAAAAAAAAAAAAAAAAAAGAAAGAAATATACTGAAGGAACATGCACTATCCAAACAATAAATTAGTATACTGTTTTGCATTAAATAATAAAAAAAATTTAAACGTAAAAGGCACTTTGGAAGTGAACATCATTTGGCCACCTAAAAAACACAAAGAAACTCATAAAATTACTAAAAGTGTTATAGCTGATTGGTAGTAAAAGTTACTAAAAGGGTTATAGCTGACTAGCAATCTGATGTAATAAAAAAATCAAGAATATGTTATGGAACTACAGTCAACATTTTAAAATGAGATCAAGTCCTGCTGATTTCCCCTCCCTTGTACAATACTTTCATTTAATACTGAAAACAAACAAGCAAAAAACCTAACTATAGCTATTCTGCTAAGCAGCTTTACTTGAATTTGAGTTAATAATTAGCATGTAACATCACTGAAAATCAAGGCAGACAAAAGAATTCTTATCTGAAGATTAAAAACAATTATTTATTAGAAAATCCAAGTCTGTTAGGATGTCTTTGGACAGGTCTAGATTTTGGAAAAGGGAAGGAAAAGAGGAGAATTTAAGAATCCCAGGGAGGCACAGTCAAAACTAAACATACTTCCCGGGATTAAGAAGCAAGTAATGGTACTCTTTACTGTCAGAGAGCAGGCTGAAAAAGCCTGAAAGTCACTTGTTTAGACTGGGAGTTCCCTGAGTGAAGAGACTGTGTCTTATTTTTGGATTCCTGGTGACTGGCACAAAGCAGGTCAATAAATGCTTGCTAATTTAAAAGGGGAAAAAGTCTGGAAAATGATCATCCAAAACCAGAACCCAACACGTATGTAATTTGAATTCACAGAAACAAACAGAATCACTTAGCCTATTTTCCTCACCATATCTTTTCTCTTAACAACCTTGAACAATCCACTAGTGGTTTCTTAATTATCTATAATCTTAAAAGGGTGCATCTGACTTAAAAGATCCCATATCAAAGATTTAAAAACACATAAGTCTGCTGTGTTTTATGCCTATACAGTATATAAATATGTAAGTTTATGTAAGATAAAAATAAAGAAGTTGAGATACAAGCATCAGATTTTTAAATATTTAAGTTTACAAGCCAAGTTCATGGTGAGCATAAACTTCCCCCAAAGTTAACAAGATATTAAAATTTTTAAATAGCTACACTTCCCTTTTATAACAATGCGTAACTACAAAAAACACATACACTTTTTCAAAGCGAATGTCTCACAGACCCAGTAAGATGTTCACATCTGTTAGAGTCCACAAAGTCTTAAACAGTGAACATTGACTGCAGGCACCAGGGGGCCTCCCAAGAATAACTTGATAGTAAAGGAAAAGGCAAACGAGTTCCTGGTGAAACTTTGCTTCTTCTTCAGTCTTAAGAGACTCAGTCTTAGACTGCTGGAAGGCTTTCACATCTGGAGCAAGTATACTGTAGTTTGTTACACAATGGGTACACAGAGAACTGATAAAATACCGACACTTTGGCTGAAAAAAGGAACTAGCGCTCTCCCTTCCGCCCCCCAATCACACAATCTTCTTCTGCGATGATTTTCCAAATGTAAGTACACACTGTTTCACGGCGGCAAACAATTATCTTCAGGAAATCTGAAAGCCAGTAACAATGGATATGTAATCCTTCCACGGTTTCTGACGGAGAGAACAATAATTTATTTTTTTTAATGGCATAATTTCTTTTCTACACACTCACAAAGCAGCTAGTGATGACGCAAATTTTAGGGTAAAGGGATTCACTGGCAGAAGGCAGCGACTGACTCTGAATAATACCCTGGCCTCTCCATCTCTTCCCTTTCCCTCAATCCCCGACCCTAACATAAAACTAACCAATTATAAACAGAAGGGCCCAGAAACTTCAAAAGCTGCGAAGACCTGTAAATATCTTTTAAACACAAGAGAGGCTTTACAATCGACCTTTTCTAAGTTTGTGCAGAAATTAAATCCTGCTCAAACCTGCTAAAATTCTCAAACCCGAAAACCAATCCCTTCAGCAAACGTGTCTACATATTTCTTGCGTGCATCTTCAGCTCGGTCAAAGACTTTTGGCTTACTATGCTTTAAAGCTAAATAATACATGGGCGGGACTCAACTCACGTTATCTTCTCCTTGAATAGAGTTTGTCCTGTAGCATCATGTAAAAATGCCGAACAGATCAAACAGTCGACTCAAGGAGAAGATTTTTTAAAATTCACTCCGGTAACAAGAAGCGGAGGCATCCAAGGGCAAGGCACAAAGAGAACAGAGAAGAAATACACGTCCCACGGGCGTACAATGCCCCGGAGCACGCATCCCGGCACCCTCCTCGCGAAGGGTCACCCGGCACCCCCGCCAGCGCGCCGCCGTGCGGGTCCCCGAAGCTCCGCTGGGGCACTACTTGCCTGCGGGGACAGCCCCTGACGGCCGGCCTCCCCTCGGCCATGTTCCCGGAGGCCGCTCCCCCCGGCCCACCGGCTTCTTCGCCCCCCTCCTCGGGGGCCGCCTCGGGGCGGGAAGGGGGGGGTCCCCTCGGGCTCCGGCGGCGGAGGAACAAGGAGGGCTAAGGGAGGCGCCCCCTCCACGCGGCCGGCCGGGCCCCGACTCACCCTCCAGCAGTCGAGTGATGAGACTATCCACGTTCAGCTCCCCGTCCGCCATCTTGTCGGCACCAGACGCTCCTTCCCAGCAGCGGGAACAAGGGCTTCTCGACGGCGGACGCTGCGGCGACCGCTCGGCGTTCCCTCACCTAGAAGTCACGCGGCGTTTCGACCCCGGTTCCAACTCCCCCCTCCCCCGGGCCCCCCCCCCACCCCCTTCCCACCAAGCAGTGGAGCGCGCACACACTCGGAGGCACCCACGAGAAAAAAATAAACAAGTGGAGCCCCCAAAAACCGGGCCGCGTCAGACCCAGCCCCCACCTCCTCTTCCTCCTCGGCACCGCCCAACTCCGCAAAGCTCACCAGCGCCGCCGACGGCCCCTCCCGCAGCACCACTCACTTCACACCGCCCTTCCCCGCCACCGCGCCACGCAGCCCTCCGCGCAGGCGCACGGCGCACTCGCTCGCGGCCCCGCCTCGCCCGCGGCCTCCGCGCAATCGCACTGGACTCGGTTCTCCCGCCGCCGCCGCCGCGCCACTGCCTTCGCGCAGGTGCGGCTGCCTCTCTCGCCACTTCCACTGCGCCGAATCTTCGCGGCTGCGCAGGTGGCGCCCCTGAGGCTCCCAGGGTTTGCTGCGCTGGGGAAGCTCCCATTACGCAGAGCGCGCGTAGGCAGCGCTGACCTTTCTGCTTCCCAGCTTCCCGGGTCCGGGTCGCTGAGCAGACGTGGTTGTGCTCTTTCCGCCTTGCTTTTGTTTTCTTGGTTTCAGTCCCTGGTTTTGCAAGTAGTTCCTCGTTCCCGGTAAGCGGGAAACGCGGACTGCGTTACCTATGTTTGAAATTGGGTTTACACGTTTGGAAAGCAAGAAGGGGTTACTCTGCTGGAACAGTTTGACGTTGCACGTAAGGGGTTTTATACCTTACGGTTCCACGAGGTTGGTTGCCAAGTGTCCCTGGATGAAATAATTTAAAGTGGGCCCTGGGAGGGTCAGCAGTAATAATATTTTACATGGGTACCGTTGTCTGCCTTCTATAGAGCGCTTTCACATATCTTACATCTTCCAGTCTGTGGATACTGCTTTTCCACAGTGCATTTTGAACAACAACAAGAAAAATACCTTCATTATATATTGCTTAATCATCCTACCTTGTAATTGTTTTTGCATTTATCCCCTACACTCGACCGTGAGCTCCTACACGGTAAACCCAATTTATCTTTGTGCCTGCAGCTCCCACCGTATCTGGTATGTAGAAGAGAGGGACAAAGAAACGCGGAGGCTCAGGAAGGTTGGTTGCCCACCTCTTCTTTCCACCACAGAATTCTGCCTCTAGAAAAGCAGGAGGAAGAGTAGCCACGCAAAGGATCTAGGTAAGCCAGAGTTTTTGGCCTGTTCTCAGAAGTGGTCAGACCAAAAGTCTTCACTCATTCCTCACGTGTTTGTCCAGAAACTCACAAACAAGATGCTGTCTCAAGCTCAAGGCAGTGCTTCTCCCACTCACATATCACTAATAATAGCTAACATTTTTGAGATCCCTGTATGTGCTCTGGCACTGTTTTAAATGTTATAGTGCATATGTTATTTCATTTAATCCTTACACCAGCCCTGTGAGGTAGGTACTATTATTATCTCTACTTTGTAGATGGAATTTATTGAAGCACAGTATGGTTAAATACCTAGCCCCAAGTAAATGGCAGATCTGGGATTCAAACCCAGGCATCCTAGTGCAAGAGTCTGCACTCAACAATTGTGATATACTCCCTCTCAGTGTATGTGAACTGAGATGCTTAAATATGCATGTGTTACAACATAAATGTCGAGAACAGAAATCATACTTTTTTGGGGAAAAAGCATTATCCAATCAAGTGCTTTATGATGGTTCAGATGACTTACAGAGATAGGATTTCCTGATCCCTTTTTTTCTAGCTTTCTCTCCGTTTCAAGATTTAGCTTGTGGATTGGTGGTGAACACAGAACAGGTGACAAGCTATAATGGTGATCCTGTCTGGAGTAGTTTTCACAGACTCTTATTGCCACCAGTTCATCTTAGGGCCTTTATAGGTGAAGAAATGGATCCTCATCAAACTCTTTTGTTAATGACCATTTATTTATACCCTGCTTTATTCCAGAAGAAGGGATTTAAAGTAACTTACGTAAATACATGAAGTAGGATAAATTAAAAATATGTACAGAGAAAAAGAGCACAAAAGAAAACCAAGAGTGGGAAAGGTAAGATAAAACCAGCAGTATTGTATGTAAAATGCATGGTGTAAGGTCCTATGGTTTGCTAGGGATAAGTCACAAATATGATTCTAAGCTTTCTAGCAACCAAGGAAAATTGCGACCAATGAGTAGCAAGTGGAGTAAGTGTTCTGGCTGAGCTGGAACTGAGACTTGAATAGACCAGCTTGTGGAGTTGGATGCCACTTTCCCAAATCTCTTCCATGAGCCTCTAAAAGAGTACCAGAATGTTTAGAACACTTAAGGTGTCTTCTTATCCTCCAATTTTCGTGGGGCCCATGAACCCCGTGAGAAAGAACTTTGAACCCTGTCCTCCATTAGGGTTTATATATATTCAGATATATTTAAGGGGCAAGGGACACTCAAAGGAAACTGGATTGCACAGAGAGAAAGTGAGCATCTTAGAGAAAATCACCCCAAGTGGAGGAGGGCAGAGAGAGGCCAGTCTCAGCAGAGTTCTGGGAGTCAGAAGAGCTCAGAGGGTGGTTCTGAGTACCGTCTGGTACTGCCTGCAGCTGGAGATGCCCCTTCACCCCCACCCCACCAGGTTTTCTAGTGCCTTCGAATCCTGGGTAAGAAGGGACTATTATAAAAATGAAAGAGCTCTATCACTAGGGGCCCAACCAACTTTCCTGTGGGATCCCCCTCCAAAAATATTATGTAAGAATTCAGAATCAGACGTCTTCAGATTTTGAAGTTTAGTGCATATACTATGTATTACTTAACACCCCAGCAGCTTCTGGGGCAGCTCACTATAAACTGAAGCATTATTTTTTTTTTAAAGAAAATCATATGAATATCCATGTCATGTAAGGTAAATAAAGACTGCATTTTGCCTCATATCAGTTCAAGTCAGAGTTGCCATTAAAGCAGCCTCCCCCCCCCAGAATAAAACGTATTTATTGAAGGAAATTGGAAAACAAAGAAAAATATAAAAATCGCCTATAATTTCACCAGCCATAGCTAACCACTTTTCTGTTTTATTTCTGAATGTATATTTATACATTTTATATCATATATAATATAATTATATTATAAATATATTTATTTATATAGACATATATATGTCTGTATAAATTTACACCAAGGAAGTAGAGCATTCTTATGAAACTTTTCGTAAGCCAAAATGTCATAAAGCAAAGAAGCAATTACCCTAGGACACATCTTGCTAACAGGTGCACAAAATAAATCGAGATAAAGCACAGATGCTCACAGACACAGTTCAAAGTTATGGCAGCCTGATGCTGAGATGCTGAGTATAGTTCCTAGAGAAGGAACTTGGCGCTGCTTGATGTGTGCATTTCCTCTGTAATGGCTTGCTGCAGAACTAACACTAAACACTATTTTTACTTTTCGCCTTTTTTTGTAACAGTGAAAATCCTCTTTGGATTTCTTTTGGTTAGCGGAAAAAGATACTCACGTAGGTCTTTCATAAAAGCCAAGTTGCATACAGTGAACTTTCTAAAGGCAGGGAATAGATAGATAGATGTCTACCCATTTTGTAAAATTGGGATCATTCTTCACTTCCATTTCATCCTACTTGGTTATGTGAGTTTTCGTGTCACATTTATGTGAATCTCAGTTTTCAAAGTTTATTTAGACCTTAAAATGTGGATAAGAGGTTGAGGGCAGAGGAAGAGGTAAGAGGTGGAGATCCAGAGGTCAGAGGAGACAGTGCTGCAGGCGGCAGCAGCAATAGAGGCAGTCAGAGCCACCATGAGGTTCAAGGGTAGGCGGGTACCAAAGAGACAGAAGCCTCACTTGACAGATACTGACTCTCAGGAAGTTCTTGGCCTGAGTGTGAGCAGTGGTCCATGGGCAGAATGGGGGTTGTCAGTTAGGGAAGTCAGCAGCTTGGAAGCAGGACACGAGAAGGCTGCCATTGGTGTAGGAGCAATGTGTGGTGGGCAGTAGCTCTGTAGAGCACCTGAGCCTGGAGACCAGCAGACTTTAGAGCAGAGGACTGGCAGGGAGTGGTTCTGATTGCATGTAGGAAACTGCCTCCCTCTCTTTCTGGACATGTGGCAAGACTTAGGAAAAGGATCAGGCTAAGGTCCTGCTCCTGATGAGACCAGGATTGTTAATCCAAGAGACTAAAGGGCAAACTATTAGCTAGACTCCCAACCCAGTGTGGCTTTAGATAGTGGTGTGTGGGAGCCAGCTTACACTGGCTCATGAGAGCCAGTTGTTAAACTTTCAGGGAATTTTGCAAGCCAAAATTCATTATTTAAAAAGTAAATTATATAGACTTACAAATAAATATAACAAAAACAAAGGTAATTATTGCTCAAGATTCATCACATTCTATTTATGTTGCTACATTTTACTATTATGTATAGTCTAAAGGTTGTTAACATGTACTGTATCTGTATGGTGGAAATACTATATAATGAAATGCCGCTATGCATCTCTTTCCAACTCTACCTTCAGTGATATTATATTGGCCATAGTGAGAGCAGTATTTACACCAAGGAAATTAGCACATGTTACAAATCTATCAGCTTCTTCCACCAGAAAGCTGGTTGTTAAACATTTACCAGCATACCACTGGGCTTAGGGAGGCATAACATGCATGTTAATATCCTTGGGTAATTCCAGAAGTGTCTGTGGAGGGAAATTGGACTTCCTGATTGTAAAGGACTTGGGGAATCATGATTTAGGGTCTTAATAAAATCATGATTTTATTTGTACTTACTGACAGGAAATACCTGGGCCAGACTAGTGCTCAGAGGAACCCAACTATCACTGTGCTGAGTTCAGAAAGATGTCCCTATGGAGTGTCCTCACAGAAGGCACTTTGGAACACAGTGAACAGCAGCCTCATGATTCCTTTTAGTAAACACAGCACAGACTTTCATAGGGATGTTTTATATGCCTCTTGATATTAGCCAGTGACCAATATGGTGTGAAAGTGAATAGGTTTAGGTAGCAAAGTGTGAAGGTTGTGATAGTGATATATAGCTCTTTTCTGCCTTGACTAATCCAGGATAACTTATAAATGAATGAATCAACATTCATCAGGCTGTCCTTCCATGAATATTATTTCTCTTAATCAAGTCTTTAATAGTCTTAAATGGCAGTAAGTTCTAAATTTTACTAGATATACCTTGAGGGCAGCCATTCTGTGTATCAAATGTCATAGACTTTTGTAGTCAGCTTAATTCAAGGATACTGAGAAACCAGACAAGGACACATGCATCAGTAGGAGGCCACCCCTGTCAGTACAGAGCCAGATGTGGTATACACCTAGGCAGGGCCAAGAATTTTGCTTAGGATTTACTTTTGGTTTCATTTCAATACACATATGAGAGAATAATCAAGCACCAGAGTGATCAGCTAAGCCATAAGGCATGTCCTCAGTCATTTTAGCCCCCCCAAATTATAAAGCCAGGTATAACCAAATACCTCTTGCCCTGCCCTTGGCCAAAACCCTCCCCCTTCCTCCAGTTCTGACACCCCCAACTCTCTCTCTGTCTCTCTCTGTCTCTCTGTCTCTCTCTCAGTGGAACATTGTCTCTTAAGGAAACTCTCTGGTGTATGCTTCAAGATAAAATGATCACAAAATAAATGCCTAGGTTAGCGTGGGGTTTCTGTCCAGACCGGCTGCACCATGTCGAAGGTTTCCTTCAAGATCACACTGACGTCGGACCCGCAGCTGCCGTACAAAGTACTCAGTGTTCCCGAAAGTACACCTTTTACAGCAGTCTTAAAGTTTGCAGCAGAAGAATTTAAAGTTCCTGCAGCAACAGGTGCAGTTATTACCAATGATGGAATAGGAATAAATCCTGCACAGACTGCTGGAAATGTTTTTCTAAAGCACGGTTCAGAACTGCGAATAATTCCTAGAGATTGTGTTGGAAGTTGTTAATGTCTGCTGCTTGGAACATAAAATCCCCTTCCAGAATAAATATTGGTATTTTTATTGTTGTAAAATTGGAGTCAGGCATTTGAAATCCTATGAAAACACCAATAGTTGATGAAGTAATGAAAGGTAACTCTCTGTCCCTTCTTGTTGTTCACACTCTTCACGTGAAGAGGGGACACTTCTCTGTTGAGGGTGTCATCACCATAGAAGATCACATTACTACCTCACAGCACACACAGGTGGTTCGTTGAGGGTAAATGGATTATCCACCTGTATCATAACTGGCGGATGCTTCTGATCATTCTTTCTGAGAACATTTGGAAAATTAAAATTTACTGAATCTTCCTATTTGTCTTTGAGTTAAAAATGTAAAAACTTATCAATCCATACGTGGCAGTTTGCTTGATAGCATCTGACTTGCAGACACAAAAATAGTTGAATTCTTCATTATATATCATTTATGATAAAGGATCACATCAATGAATAACTGTCTTTTTATCATTTAGCTTGTTTTAAAGTTTCAAACTTCGTGAGTTCTTATAAATTTTAATTTAAAATTCAAATAGCCAAAAATTGAATTTTTGATCTAGCCCCTATGTGTAACATTGGTATCCCATGCCAAAGAGTTTGAGACTAAAGTAGAAGCATCAGTTGCTGAATTATGCGTTCCTTTATTGATCTTTTTAAAAAAACCTTTAAAACAGAAATCCTAATATCCTAGAATATTAGGATAATATTTCCAAATAACGTTCGGGGAGAAAGTATTGTTGTAAAGAAGATCTGTTGTTCACAACAGAGCTCAAGGAAATGCTAACTGAAATGCTCACTAATTCTACCTACTGAAGACCCAACATTTAAGGAAGTGTTAAGATTAGTTACTGGAGTGAATAAGAAGCTAGGAAAGGCAGATGGGGAAGCCCAGATGACCAGGCTTCTAGTAAGAAGGAAAGAAACAAAAATGAAGGGGAGCAGAAAGCTGTAACAGAGTGTCACAGAAAAGGCCAAACTGGATAGACAAAACTGCAGAGGCTATGTTGGGAAGAACTGAAAGGAAAATAAAATACTTGACATTGTTATAAGGAGCAGAAGGCAATCAGAGAAAGCAAAGCATAGGCCTTGTCAACATACAGATTTCAAAATTCCCCGTAGAGAATCTAAAGAATGATAGGCATAAGGGAAGATTTTGTTTGTCATTAGAGAGGACATCAATATCTGTGCACATCTTGAAAGGTGAAATGAAGGCTCGTAGTGATTGAAAACCAGTGCTTGACTTGCTGTATTCTAGATGGTAAGCTCTCTGTAGGCAGGCCTGGTGTCTGTCTTGCTCTTTCTAGGCCTGAAAATGTAGGCTTTCATTGAATATGTGTAGAATTATTCATGAATAAAGTATTTCTAAGACCAGTTTTTATCTAAGTGTGCATAGGCTCTAGGTTCATTGGGAAAAAAAATAATGCAACCGAATCAGTATCCGAAGGGTAATGTTGGTTAAGTTTAAGGAAGTAACTAGATATTGTTCATATATTTGACGAATGAACGGCAGGATTCTGAATTGTAAAGGGAAAAAAAAATTGTGCTGAGGTAGTATGTTGCTAATGTTTGGGGAATTTTTTATTTTTATAAACAAAGTCTGATGCTTAAAGACTTTAACAACATTAAAGTCTTTAACAACATTAAAGTCTTTAACAACATTAAACCTCAGTTAACCAGAAATTTATGAATACACATTTTCTGAATTTTTGTTTCATTTAGATGTCCCCCATTCTGTTTCTAGCACAAAATTCTGCCTGATTTGTTACATTGATAAGTTTTATGATGTCTTGTACCATAATTTGTTTAATATTTTTTTCTTTGGTTGGAAAATTTTATTGCAGTAAGTTCTTAAAAAATATTTTCTTAAAGAACTAGACATTTTGTTATTAAATAAATGTGACCTGTAACTTTTTGTGCAGGATGTTTTGAAGTGTTGTATTTAGTTTAAATGCTTTATTGGTACGTAATTAATATCTTGTGAAAATACATTTTCTTATACCATAAAAAAAATAAATGCCTAATAATTGAAGGAGTTAACTGTATAACTGTTAACTATAAGACAATTAAAGTTGGAGGGCAGCTATCACAAAGGATGACTAATTTTTGAAGAGTTGATCTGTGGCTCTTTCCCCCCCCCCCCCAATTAGATTACAGGGCTGTCTATTTAGGTCACTCTCTAGTTTGTTACAATAAAACCATGTCATCTACCTGTATGAGATTGTTTCTTTTTCAGTGTTCTCCTATCTTTCTCATTCAAAGATATTTAAGAAATAACTCAATGTGTTTGTTGGTGAAGAAAAGTACACCAAATGGGAAAGTTTGTTTCAAATGAAACAGTTTAAGTGTTTTGTTTCTAATGAAGGTGGCTCTCCTCATATAGTATATCAAAATTACGTTTGTCACCTTTTCAATTGGAGAAGGTTTGCTTCTGAATGGTTTCATAAGTCTCTGTTTCAGTTGGCTTTGGTAAATAAAACAAACAAAGGGATATTAAGTTTTTAAATGTAGTTATAAAATGAGTGGCTCTCCCCTAAGACCACATTAAAATTAATGGCATGTATCTCCTAAAACTAGAACCAGATGTGTCTGTGAGCTGTGAAAAATATTTATTGGAGTGACATCAACCCTAATAGACCCTTTTATATAGGAAACACTTGTTAAATAGAATATTTTTCAGTTATTCAAATCTTGATTCAAACCAAATCTAGTCTACTATAAATACATTCTTAATTGAAATACCCTAATGTTACTTATTATTTGAGGACATCTTATAGCGAATAGACCTCCAAAGCAAAGTGAATAATGAATTGTTTCAGTATTTATGAAATATTTAGTATGTTTGATTCTGTACTGAAGAAAACATGATCTTCCCAACTTTCAAGTGGTTTAATGGCTATTTGGGAAAATGACCACAAAATGATTTGGATAGTGGGAAAAGCATTGGCTTGAAGGTGGGAGACCAAAGTAGCTGAATACCCTTAAACAAATCTCTCTGTCTTTCTGAACCTTGGCTTCATTACCTACAAAATTAGTTGCATTAATGATCTCCAAAGTTTCTTCCAGCTCTAACAAGTCTTTGATTCTAGGACACACAAATGAAACCCAAAATGTAACATAATATTGTACAGGCTGTCCCCAACTTAGGAACTGGATCAACTCCAAAAGGTCAATTGTTTGGAACACAGAATATATTTTCCCACAGAGACTGTGGTACAAGTGGTGGTTAAATCCTAGATCCGTCTGCAAAATCAATTTAATCCTTAATGTAACTGTAGAAGAGTATCCATGGTAATATGGACTCTAACCACCAATTACGTATAACAAAGTTTATGGGAAAAGCCATTGAGGGATTCCAGCTTGGTATGGCGGAAAACATCTATCAGTGTTTTTTCCACTACCTGAAGCAATAGGCATGAAGCAATTCTAGTTCTAATTTACAGGCAGACCTGGGCCCCAAATGGTAAATAAAGCCTGGACTGGCAGCATGGAGAGTGAGGCTCTGATACCTCTGATCTCATAAGGGGGGCAGGGGGCAGGGGGCAGGGTGGCTGAGGACAGTTCATGGTGTCTGGAGTTTTGGTTGCCAGGAAGGAGTTGGCTCCAAACCAAAGGATAGGGAATGTAAGGGCAGGAGGAAAAAAAGGGAGTGAACATGTATGTGCTGGAAACTTTTAAGAGAAAAGATGCAATTACTTTTTTTTTTTTATTGGAGTATAATTGCTTTACAATGGTGTGTTAGTTTCTGCTTCACAACAAAATGAATCAGTTATATATATATACATATGTTCCCATATCTCTTCCCGCTTGCGTCTCCCTCCCTCCCACCCTCCCTATCCCACCCCTCCAGGCGGTCAGAAAGCACCGAGCTCATCTCCCTGTGCTATGCGGCTGCTTCCCACTAGCTATCTACCTTACGTTTGGTAGTGTATATATGTCCATGCCTCTCTCTTGCTTTGTCACAGCTTACTCTTCCCCCTCCCCATATCCTCAAGTCCATTCTCTAGTAAGTCTGTGTCTTTATTCCTGTTTTACCCCTAGGTTCTTCATGACATTTTTTTCCTTAAATTCCATATATATGTGTTAGCATACGGTATTTGTCTCTCTCTTTCTGACTTACTTCACTCTGTATGACAGACTCTAGGTCTATCCACATAAAAAGGAATGAAATTGAGCTATTTGTAATGAGGTGGATGCAATTACTTTTGATCTCACTCCCTTTGTGGTTGAGGAAGTTGAGATCTAGGAAGGGTACATTGCACTGACTTAATAGCAAAACTAGGATTTGAATCTAGACCTAATGATTCTTAGCCCAGATCCCTCCCCTCCCCTCTCCCCCTCCCCTCTGGCTGTCATGCTGTGCAAGAACCTACTCTTTTCATCTGCCTGTTTCCTGCACAGGAATCCCTAGAACCCTTTACCCCCACCCCATCCTTATCCTATTTTTCATCCTCTGGTCTTCCAGGGCAGTCTGGTCAATGATCAGCACAGCAGTTTTCTGTTTTGCCCATATGTGGTTTAACAGTGCCACCAGCTCAAAGAATGACTTTCTAGTTGCCAGAAAGGAGCCCCTCTGACTCCTCTCCAGTTTGGCACAAACCACCTAGAGAATGAGACTGAGTAATCCCAAACTCTCGTGACATTGAGGTACTTCTAGTAGTGATGTTTCTGTTAAGACAGAACCCAAACTGGCTGGGAGAGCCAGTGTCCCAATGCCCAGGTGACAGGCATTGCTCCTTTGTCAGAAAGAAGGCTTCTGGCAGGAGGTTCCTAAGTGTACCACGTGCTGGGAATTTTTACTGACTATCACATTTAATCCCTCTAAAAATCCTGTGAGGTCAGTATTTTCCCTTTCATAGATGTGCCTTGAGTCACCAGGTTGGTCTGATTTCTGAGCCCTGCTGGGACAGCCAGGCAGCGCAACTTAGAGACTGGGGCTGGTTCGGTGGACCAGCTCTGGGACACTGTTGTGAGCGGAAGTGGGAAGTGAGGAGAAGGGTGGGCCCTGGCAGTGGCTGTAATCTGCTTTGATGGCAGGGATAGCTTGCTCAAAGCAGGATGGGAGTGGGCAGAAGCTGGGTGATTTCTCAGTAGGGCAGATACTTCCGGAATGAGAGGGAAGGAGGGTTCATTCACACCTACAGCCAGGGGGAGGGTGGGGAATGCCTGCCCCACACACCTGAGAGGGCTCCCGGGCCAGGCCAACAGTCCCACTTACGCAACCCTGATTTGTCCATATTTTATGCCAGGCCTGCAGGAGTAGTGCTCAGGAGTGTGGTTCAGATCCTGAGCTTTTTAGAATTCCTGAGGGAGAGAACAGTGAGGTCAGGTAAGGCCATAATACAACTGGTGCAGCTGAGGGGGCTTGAGCTGGGTTGTGAAGCATTGTGGGGTTTACATCAGTGCCTTTCACATAAAGTGTCTGTGTGTTTGTTGTCAGAATCATCTAGGGAACTTTTGGAAAATACCAATGTTTGATTTCCCTTCCTCCCCTTAGGAAGTCCTATCTAATTCTCAGCATTGGGAGTAGACGAGTAGATATTTTCAAACAATGCCCTAGGGAATTCTCACAGGGACATGCATCCCTCCTCCATTTTTCACTGGCATAGATCTCAAAAGATAAAGCAAAACATAACAAAGAGACACTCAGGTAGGAGAGCCAGGGGAGGGCTCTTCCGGTGAAGGGATCGTTTCTGGTGAAGTTTGCAAAAGTATAAGGGGCCTGGAATGCCTGGGGCAGAGGGTGTACGCAGGGAGTGGTAGGAAATAGGATGGGGTGATTAAGATGAGCAGTCAAGAAGGAACTGGAATGCTGGGCAGGAGAGTTTAAACCTGATGCTGTTTGAAACAGGAAACTGTTCATGTATTCTCATTCGGTGATTATCTATTGAACACCTGCTCTGTGCCAGGCACTGTGTTCTGTGCTGGGGATACGGCAGAGAACAAAGT